GCGGACAAGAAGTGGTTCTTCTGCGATTGTTCGATTTCAGTCTATCTTACAACACTGTGAGTCCCTGATGATGTTTCATCCAAATAATAATCAGATGTGGCCTTGCTTAGTCCCAATCAGCTAAGGTTTCTAGATGTTGTCACCAGATGATCTTAGTAGTATTTCAAGCTATTTCATTTCAGTATCTTTCATGTTAATTAGAATTTTTTCCCCTTATGCTGTTGTTAGCCCATGAAACTAGCAACCTTTCTTTTTTTTTTTTTACTTTAAAATCACCTAGAGATCTACTACAGGAATCCATTCTACTCCTTATAAGTATAATGTTTAATCGTAGGAAGAATGCTAGGAACAGAGACTCTGCTACTAATTTTTTTTCTGAATTAGTGGCACAATTTCCCCACCCCCAAAAGTTCTCCAATCTGGGCTCAGAGAAGACTCTGAGGATTTATAAAGAGAACTATGATTCATGAAAGGTTATGAAATAATATATTTTACACTTTAAGGTAGCACAGAACTCTATTGTTCTCTAATGAGTAGTAAATTTTTCAAACCGCACATTTCTCTTTAGCTAAGGTCAGCTGAAGAATTTCTGATTTCTCGTGTCAGTCCTTCCCACCCCCACCCCCCAGATTCTGGTTTTTTTTTCCCTTTTCCAAGTTTGATAAGTGGTGGTAATGACCCATATGAAAAGGATTTGGAGAGTTCACTTCTTTACAGTCTTTTCACAACCTAGGGTAGTCCACTAAATGTTGCATAAGAAGCTCAAATGTACATAGCAAATGAAATTCTTTTAAGACCTATTGAAATTGAGGTATTGAAATTGAGGTATAATCAGAAAAAAAAGGGAATAGGAAAAAATACTACTCCCCTGTTTTCTCTAGTGTCCCATTAATGTTCCCAATACATGCAAAGAGGGAAGATGATATATTTGGGGCATATAGGAGATCTATGTGAGGGCATTGAGAATAGGGAGAATCAGTGGGAAGGAAACTAATGTTTCCTGCTTATTGGACTTTTTCAGAAAAAGATGTTGAACATCCTTTAACGTTAGCAGCATGTGGGGTAGAAGTGATAAGGTTATCTTTTCCCCTCACTTTGTTTCAGATTTCTTGTTACCTAAGTTCTTCTGAAGTCTGTTTTCTTTAGAAAAAGTAGAAAAATGAATTCTTTGGCTGTTTGCTAGCATTGTACAATTCCTGGGTCAAGTGTAATACATAAATTAGAGGTTGACAGCATTAATATTGTGGAAGGATTTTTTTTTCTTTAAAAAAAAAATGAAATGCCAAAGTCTTGTTTAAATACCTGCAATTCCTTTTGAACCAAGACAGGTTTTTCACGTGATTTTTCCAGCTGTTTGGATCCAAAGGACCATTATGCTCTTCACAGAGATTTCTATCGGTTGCCAAGCATCTTATTGTGAACTTGGAAAGCCACAATTTCCCCCTGCCATGGAATTTAGGCTACTAAGCAGCTTGCTTTAACAGCAGATGATGGAATGCTCTACAAAGAGAGACAACTTGGAAACATTTTATGCTATTTGGCAACCAGTTCAAGATTACTTGACTCAGTGAAATATGACTTAGTCTTTATCACCTAGCTGTTTCTGGCCAGCTCTTCTGTTTTGTTTTTTTTATCTATCTCTGCTTCCTATGGCTGGAGGTATGTGAATTCTTTTTTTTTCAAGCAATGAGGATACATATTGCTTTTTCTTTGGTCAGATATTGGTTTATACATTATATAAATCAAGATCTACCATGGCACCCTAGATAATAGATTGAGCTGTGCAATTGGAGGTCCCTGGTTCAACCGTTGGACTATAGGAGCATATGAAGTTACTTTATAGGGACAAAGTTCATAGACTGCATTATAGTAGCTATAATATATTTGCTTGGTTTTGCTGGTGGAGAATTCTGGGAGCTGAAGTCTAGATGTCTTAAAGTTCCCAAGTTTTAGAAAGTCCTTGGAGACACGGAGGACTTATTTGTGCAGAATGTGAAGGCATGAGTCACACTAAACCTTGTTCTCTCTGGAACCAGGAGGATTTCAGAATCTTTCACTCACATTCTCAATGAATTATAGTTTATTCAGCAGTAGCCATGATTCAAGGAGGACTTGCAGGTCACGTACCTACTTTTTCAACAAGAGTGCCACCCTGTCAAGAGGCACATTGGAATGCTATGAGAATCTTTATGAGGAAATGGCAATGTGAAGGCCCTCCTCCTCCTCCTTTTAAACTTTGAAATTATTTAATTTTAATTGTTTTAGTGTAAGATTTATGTATATATTTTTAAGCTTTTATGTTTTATTTGAATACCACCCAGAGTTGCTCTGTGCGGGAGTAGATCATTTCTAGATGTGATATAAATAAAAATAAATAAACAAACTCTGTTGTCTTAAGACTTAATTGCAGACTGTTCTATTATATCCAGTTCTTACAGCTTCCAATAAAAAAAAAAGAAAAAGAAAAAGAAAGAAAGGCATCCATAGCATCAGCATCAAGTAGTGATGTATTACTGGGTATCATCAGGTTACTATCTCCTAAGATATCCTATACAAAAAGGTGTTTAATGCCCAAATGTAAATATCCTCCAAGGGACAGTATCCATCACAGATTTCCAATAAAGAGGAGCTGAAAGTCAAGAGGTTTTATTAAGGTGCTGTAAATACTTACAGGAGTAAGCATGTTCCTGTATTGGGCAACAGGTATGCATGTTCTGTTCTGCCATAGCATGACTATGCCAAGGGCCTGGTTTATAAAGTTAATAATAATAATAATAATAATAATAATAATAATAATAATAATAATAATAATAATAATAATAATAATAATAATAATAATTGGAAGGGACCTTGGAGGTCATCGAGTCCAACCTCCCAACCCTACACCATTTCGGACAAATGGCTGTCCAGTCTGTTCTTAAAAATTTCCAGTGTTGGAGCATTCACCGCTTCTGGAGGCAGGTTGTTCCACTGGTTAATTGTTCTAATTGTCAGGAAGGTTCTCCTTAGTTCTAGGTTGCTTCTCTCCTTGATTAGTTTCCATCCATTGCTTCTTGTCCTACCTTCAGGCACTTTGGAGAACAGCTTGACTCTCTCTTCTTTGTGGCAGCCCCTAAGATATTGGAATACTGCTATCATGTCCCCCCTCATCCTTCTCTTCGTTAAACTAAACATATCCAATTCCAGCAACCATTCCTTATATGTTTTAGCCTCCAGTCCCCTAATCATCTTTGCTGCTCTTCTCTGTACTCTTTCTAGAGTCTCAACATCTTTTTTACATTGTGGTGACCAAAATTGGATGCAGTATTCCAAGTGTGGCCTTACCAAGGCATTGTAAAGTGGTATTAATACTTCACGTGATCGTGAGTCTATCCCTCTGTTAATGCAGCCCAGCACTGTGTTGGCTTTTTTGGCAGCTGCAGCACACTGCTGGCTCATATTTAAGTGATTGTCCACTAGGACTCCGAGAACCCTTCACAAAAAAAATTGTGTGAGAAGCTACTTTAGTAAAATGTTATTTCTATGAACTCTTCAGTATCTCTGCACCTGATATTATCTCAGTGTGCATTTTCAGATTATCTATGCCATCCTATGTATCTTACATTTTTTTTATACTAAACGTTCATGCAGAGATTAAACATGATGTTAGCTTGGTTCAATACATGCCAGTGTTTCTCAACCTTGACAACTTGAAAGTGTGTAGGTTTCAACTCCCCAAATTTCCCTGGCAGCATGCTGGTTGGAGAACTGTGGTAGTTGAAGTCCACACATCTTCAAGCTGCCAAGACGCATTGGTGTATATAAAGGGTCCATGGAGCTGGGGGTCTATGAACAAAACCATCTCAAGTCTCAAAATGCATGTGGTTTAAGTAACAGTAACAAAATGAACTAGTGATAAATTCAAAAATGTAATGGTAATGAAATGGGAAGAAAAGTGTTGTTGGCAACTCTAATGAAGACAGTGTGATAGCTTCTAGTATTATTATTTTTCTTCATTTAATACAGAAAATTTCATTTAGTAAAGAAAATGAAAAGACTATTACTGGATGAGATAATTGTGTGAGATTTAATCTGATAATAAAAATTGAGATAATGTAGGAAGCAGCCTTACATAAACCAAATGATATCCATTGAATTAAGTATTATCCATTCTTACTTATCATGGCTCTTCTTGCCCTGAGCTCTTAATTCATAATTTCAGTTAAATAATTTTTTAAGCAAAGAGTCAGATATTAAAATCAAGATTCCTTATACACAAGCACAATAATATTATATTATTACATGACATTCTTTCTTAATTCATGACAATCTTTCTTAATTCATGGAATCACATTCATATGAAACTTTTCTGCAGCCTTGTTCTCCAAGCATCCTGAAGCCAAAGCAATAGCAAAGATTGTTCAATGCAGTATACACCTCTTGGTAGTTGATTTATGTTACCATTTCCTACCTCCTACCTCCTGCACTTCCTACTTTAATGACAATTCACATAACCACAAAGACCAGATGTTGGAAGAGAGTTGTAATAATGATAGAGCACCCAGTTTTTAATTTTCTTAAAAGAGGAATTGTGCAACTTTAAACCATTTCCAGATGCAGCATCTTGTATCAGAGGAAGTTCTTAGAGTAGAAGAAAGTGAAATCAGTAAGTACAGCAAGAAGAAAAGAAAAAGAATAATGAGAAAGTATAGCAGTCTTCCAAACATGTTTTTTTAAGTGAGGAGTGAGTAGATGTTGAACCCACACCAACTAATGTACATTATTGGACCTATAAACTAGGATTTGAGAGAAGCCTATTATATTATTACTTAGGTATACTACTATATGATAAATATGATGCAAACATGCACATATCCTCTTCCACATACACATGGGCGAGGAAACACTATAGAAAGCACAGGAATTGGTAGCTGATGTGCATGACTCCAAAATTTACATTCCCTAGAAAAAATTGATAGAACTTTTCAGTGAGAAAAGAATTCATGGATGATTAAACTTACTGAAATAAAAGCCTCTTTCTCCACAGACAAATTGAAGAGCATCAACCAACTCAGCACCACAAAGTGTTTCTTGGCCAGCAGCAGCAACAGATGAGCTGGTTAATGTGAGCAAACACAGGCCAAGGTAGAAGAAATTAATGGATGTTGCAGTGAGCATCTTCACCTGTGAATGAAATAAAAACAAAACTATGTCAGTGTTTTTCAGAAAATCCCAAAACCGGGCTAAATAAGATGCTTATTTCAATAGAATCTGCGTTGATTGCTTTATTGTCACCCAGGCCCATTCAGAAAGAATTATTACATATTGGGGGAAATTCTGATCAAATAACCACGAGCCTTGTTTGTGCTGCAGCTGATGTCTTTGGGCAATTTCAAATTCTATTTCTGATAGTTCTTTATTTTTAAACAGATTTGACTGGAAAGCCCTTTATACAGATCAGAAACTTCATTCAAATAAATCCTGGACAATATTTCAAACAGGTACTTTGTAAATTAGGATACAGGACTACTCCCAGATGGGAAGCCCAGTTTTCTATTTCTTCAGGCTTTTTGACCTCTGAGCATTGTTTGTTGTTTCACTTCATGCCTTTTCTCTGAGGTATGCCCTCATCCACTCCAAACTTAATTGAAGTAAAATCTGAAGCCACCCTTCCCCCCCCCTTTGGAAAATACAAGCATTTTGAGCAAAATAGACTAAGAAAATATCTTATTTTCAGATAAATGTTTTGCTTTTTGTGTAATTTTTAAATCAGATAAATATGTACCTTAGCGTATTTTGTATGTTGGTGTGGCAATTCTATCTTGCATTCTATTTCTTTTTTCTAAAGAAATTTATGGGTCATTTTGTTGGCATCCAGGGCCATCTCCCATGCCTTAAATTCATGTGAATCAGTGCTATGAAGGCATCTGCAGGATTTTGATAAACTCAGCTACATTGAAGAGTTAGACTACTTCAGTTCAAGCAAAACTACTATGTCTTTTAAACTTCACACAACCTTTCCAACTATTACTGGGAAAGGGTGACATTAAAATGGATCTATTTCCCTTTTAAAATGCTTTCTTGTCTGAATTATTAAAAGCAGAGGGGTCCCCCATCCAAACATCTATTGAACCTGGCAGCTTATTGTTAAATTTTTAGAGGCTTAACTCAACAGATATAGTGTGGTTCAATTGTGAAGGGCAAGGCCAAATAGATTGAGTGTGATCCAGCTACCAAAGCAGTTTTAAATCCCTATATAACTGATGTTTAAATTATGATCAGCAGCTGTGTTATGTTACTGGCGCAGCACAAGGCAGCTCCAGTGTGCTAATCTTTTGTGGACATCTGAGACAATTAACTACTGGGACAAATGGGCAGAAATTACAAACACTATCAAACTCTGGAAAGTATAAAATGCCTATCGTAGATGAATTCACTAAGAATTGGGAGTACTTCAACAACTGCAGCATAGAAATTCTCACACTTGTAACAAAATATTGTAGTAAGGAATCTTTCAGTTCCATGCTTAACCCAGGCAACCATGCTTTCATTCCATTGTCCTGTACCTGCTACATATTGATATAAAGTATTCCATGACTACTATATAGTATGGCAATCCTAATTGGGTTAGGTTTATTTATTTATTCATCGTACTGATATGCTGCCCATCTCATAATCAAGTGACCCTGATTTAGATTTAGAGGTATGGCTATATCACTCTACTTCCCCAACTATTTTATTTATACTTGTGATAACTCAGAAACTTGCTAATAGTACATGGATTTGTCTCCAAGTAATTTATCTCCAAGATCAGTTGTTAAATGAGTTGTATGACAGGAAATCAGCATTATCGTCATGATCATCCCTTTTTCTCAGCCTTCCAAAATTTTGCCACATTTTAGGATTATTGAAAATTACAATGTTGCTCAGTAATTGGAAAAGGTTTGATTGCCAAATACTTTATTGGCAATGGCTGGAAGGATTGCATAGGCTACTTGTCTTAATATGCTTGAAAAGCAAGTTTTCCCTCTATGAAGCTTTTTCCAAGAGCATTCCTTTACCTTGAGATAGACAGATAGACAGAAAGACATAATATACATACTATTTATTCTGGTGGGCTGGGGGGGGGGGAGAGAATTGGAAGCACAGACAGAAACCAGTCCTTAGCAATGCCCAGCTTGGCCTTCACATTAAATACAAAACACTTCTTTACAAAAGCCCATCTGTAATGACTAGCCAACCTAGTAGAGAACCTAGCCAACTAGCCAACAGAAGAGAGTACTATGCAAGGCCTTTATTTATGGAAACATCCAATATAAAGATAGAAAGATATTTAAAAGACTTAATGAAGATGAAATAGCTATTTAGTATTTGCAAAACATGACAGTCCAGGATAGTAAAATGTGAAAGGCAAATATGAGTGTGACTTCAGAAGCAGAAAGAAGGATCACTAAGAATAGTCTTGGGTATCATAATACTATTTTCCTCTAGTTAATGATACCTCAAAGGTGTTAAGGTAGAGGTAAGTCACCTGCTTTCACAGGCTTGCTGTCAAGGGTGCAATTCAAAAGGTTCTCCCAGCATAGTCCCAATGAAATGGCATTGTGTACCTACTGAAGAACACTATGTATTCAACACAGTGTTCTTTGATCCCAGTTGGCTTTGCCTCAAACATAAACTTCATTTAACAATGTTATTTTTTTTTCTGAGACTGCAGCAGACTTTGCACACTGTAAAAAAAAAAATCAGATCTAGGACAAAAGAATGGGACTCTGTGTTATTCCCACTCCTTTATGTGAGCCAAGAATGTGACACCATACAATTGCCTAGAAATTCAATATTTTCTCCTAGATCGCAAAAGCACAATCTCTTTATAAAGCTTGGGAAGAGGAAATAATGGATCCTTTAGTTTTGGTCAAATGGACCAAAAGTCCTACTCCATCAATCATATAATAGTGTTTTTGAAGATTTATCTGTCAGAAAATTCTCTGATGTACCTTAATATTTCTTCTCTGTTTAGATGGGAAGGCTGGAGTCATTAAAAGAATACTTACGATAATTAACAATTTGGCTGCTGGTCTTTTCAATAGATCAGAGTGTCCCCAATTTATTGTCTGTCCCATTTGAACGGAAGGCAGAGGCCTTTAAAAGCAAGTCCTGGAAAGTGGGTGGGGTTTATCAGAGTGTCTGATTAAATTTGGACTCTGAGTCCAACTCTGTACTGTGCAGGACTGGCTAAACAATGTGGTAATGAATGACCAATTATGTTTCACAGCTGCAATTTCAACAGATCTTCTCCTTCAGAGAAAATCCAGTATCTTCTGCATCTGGAGATGCAGTCTGTAGCAGTCCAAAACAGTGGCTCTTAAAGTAGCCAGCAGATGGATTGCTCCTTGGCTTTAACACCTTCCTTTGCCCTTCCCCAACTCCTCCCATTCAGCAAGCTTCAAATCAAGCAGCGCATATAAAAACGCTTGAGCAAAATTTGGGTGCGCGCCGGTTTGGTGACTATCTAAAATAACAACGCTTAGGGTTTATTGAAAGCGCTTTTCAGAGACACGGCAGCTGGAATAAGAATACTGTAGACAGAAGTATCAATCTTTGCTAAGGAAATGCATATGTAAGTTGTCAGACACCATCATTAGGTAAATAAGGCAATGTATGCAACCAACTTGATACCAAGGAAGCAACTGAATGAGAAATCAAACTTACTGTAGGTACACTGACCACAAGGACAAAGTGAGAGGTTATGTTCTATTTGGGACTCATTATAGGTCAGATGTTATTCTGTGAGGTTCAAATCCTCACCATGAACTCATGACCTTTGTACTTTAAAAGACTATATGCAGTACATGAACTTAGGAGCTATCCAGGTCCTGGCACTCAGTAGGTAGAGAAAGTGATATATAGAATCTATTAGAATCACCTTTCCTTAAAATCTCAGAAAAGAGAGATACAAATGTACTGCCTTCTTTTATAAATTCAGGTTTACTACACTCTGCTAATTAATTGTGATGTGGTATCTATATTATGTTGGGAAGCTTATAATAAAAAAAAATAACTTCCTCTTTCCAATAAACTGAACATTGGATGCTGTCCATAGTTCTGCAGTTATAACCATGACCCTCCTATAGCTATTGATTTCAGCAATACTTGCTTGACACTGTTTATTCTTACTCTAAACATGTTATAAAAATTTTTCTTTCTAGTAAAGTAAAATGGATAAAACATACTCAGGCAAGGTAGTTTTAAAAAAACTAAAAAAAAAACCTAAATTGGTACCTACAGCTTTGGAGACTGTCAGCTGCACACAACTCTGCCTACAAAATGGAAAAACAAAACTTTATTCTTGAAGGATATAATTTTGCTGAGAATGGAAACTTGAGGCCAGCTGACAAAAACAGAGGTCAGTGGATCTACTGAAGTCAAATCTATCTAAAAAGAGTTATGTTTCCAAGAAGCAGAGAATATAGAATACTTTTAAAAATCCTATCAAACTTTGTTTAACAAAAACTGCTTTTCAGAAAGTAAAATAAAACTGCATACAAATAGTTTGTTCACTTTTCTTACTGCACAATTGCTTAAACTTAGTATAAATCTTGTTCACTTTTCTTACTGCATAATTGCTTAAACTTAGTATAAATCTGCAAGAGCAGAAAGTTGTGCATGGTTCTTCTTTCAGAAAAGGAAAAACAAACTTCACTTTCACAGGAAACCATTAAAAAAAGTCTAAATGTAGACTGATGCCAATAAGCAGCTGCTATAAAGACTATACTGTAATCTCTGGGTTACTTCTGTACTTCTGGGTATATAATGATCCCAGAAAACTGAATCAGCTACTGATGTCTAATGGGTATCACAATGTCAACATTTGCACCTGCAGTGCAATTCAAAACTGCTTATATCCAACTCAGCAGTTATTAACCACAGCAAATGATGTAAGTGGGAATTTTAAATATGACAGAGCAAGAATTTTTTTCAGAAAGTTTTTCTAATCCAAGTTGAATTCTTAAGTACCTTCACCTTCACAGTTTCTAAGCTGTGTTCAGAGCAGTCATTCCATGCAGTTATTTCTCAACTGTGCTAAAATTATTCAGCAGTTTAGAAATAAAATCCCAGTGCAGAAATAATGCCACTGAAAGTGTCTAGCATTTCTTCAAGCCAAAATCTGATTACACATACACCAAAATTATAAATATATATATTTAAAAAGAAATCAAATAGGAAGAAAGATTTACCTTCAAGAAATCACAAAAGCAGCACTTAAATAATAGAGTTGAAAGATTGTTGGTTTTCCCCATTGCTTCTTAAGTGCAAACTCTGGAAATGAATTGGTTAGCAGAGGAATAATGAGGGGGGAATAAAAAGAAAAAAAAAAGAAATCCAGGAGATGTTCACATATCAATATTGAGCAGTTTTATTCCATTGCGCAGGCTTGATCTGCTCTGATTTGAGAGTGAGATTTAGCAAACAGAAGAAGATTTAGAGAAAATCCTCACATTTATCTACATTACAGACACTGTAGACAGGAAACAGCTGGAGGAACATTTGCTTTCTCTCTCTCTCTTCTCTCCTTTCTCTCTCTCCTCTCTCTCTCTCCCTCTTCTGGCAAAGTTACTGAGTAAGGATTTTTGGGCACAATGACAAATAACATCATACCTTTGCATTTTGAAACTGGAGCACTGAAGTGTCGTTGGTTTTTTTCCACCCAATCCCCCTCCTTCTTTAAAAGAATGCACGCTTCTGAATGGAAGACAAGAAAATATAGTTTAAGAACTCGGAGAAGCTGAAGCTGCAATAAGAAATGAAACATGTAAATGGACATGTTTCAGCTGGCTGCAATAGATACCCAGAGATTAATTCAGATACCTTTGCACCATATTTTCCAAGTAAAACTGCTGAGTATTTCTGCACGTTGGCCATTGTGAGAACCAGCTCTTCCCAATATCAATGCTAAAATCACCTTTTGCCATCTGATTCCTACAAGAATGGCTAATCCATATACAGTGCACATCCTCATGCTTTTTATAAAACCCTCTGAAATGAATGCATCTTGACAAAAGAGAAACATTTGGTTTTTTCTTTCTACCCCACTTATTCATTGATGTTCCATGACACTTTGCTTTTTGTTTTGTTTTGTTTTGTTTTGTTAAAGCAAGCTTGAGGGTGTGAATGGGCAAAGAAAGCAATGAACTGAGTGATCATGCAAGATGGGTGCACTCAAGATGGTCTGATTTTTTTCAAGATCTAATCTGGGTCAGTCACTGGGACTAGTGTTTTAGTCTTCTGAGCTCTTGGATTCATGCTGGAGCCCATCCTCAGGGAACTTCTCTCCCATCCTTGGGGAAATTCCCCAAGGATGGGCTACAGCAGGAGTCCGAAAGCTTGGAAGGCTAAACTTCTGGTCATGGTGATTGACCCAGATTGGATCTTGCAACATTATCCTTGGACACATATATTTGCCTTCATATGTGATTTTTTTCTGGATGAAGGATTTTTGCTTGTTTTTCAGGAGTGTTATGCCTCATTATGCTATAAATGTTATACTTTAACATTCATGTTTTAGTATGTATTTCACTCATAACAGCAGGAAACTATGCCACTGAATTTGGTAGTTGAGGATGGAGGAGCTGTACAATTCTGCATTAAATTATTAGGAGAGATCTTCAGGAAGGGACTGTGGTTTGAAGATACCAAGTTATTCCATAACAGTAACCCCAAGTCTAGAAAGTCTTTTCTAAGACAGAAACCAGGGTGTGGGTGGGTGATCCTACTTGCAATCATGAGAAGATAGTAGCTTGTTAGATGGGTAGTTTGACTTCACATAAGATCTCAAACAGTAAGTCTTCTCAAATTCCTATCAGAAAAAAAATTGGGCAGTGGAGCTGTACGTAGCAAGGCAACACATTTTATCATCTGCCCTTATCTATAGGCCAAGCTGGCCTCAAATATCTTGGAAAAAGTACCTGAAATGACAAGCATCCTTGGAGGTAAATGATCAAAATTGTTGATATGTCACATCTCATCAGTTAGTGGATGTACATTGTTTACATCTTTATTCTCTTCTCAGTTAGTTCTGATTTATAAATAGCACACAGTGGCCAGAAATATGAGGATATGATGTTATTGATCAATTAAATCAAGTTGAAAATATAAAGATCCAAAGTAATAGATATAATCTGTTTAAATTACATACACTTTAGGATAATGATAATTATCACGTGCAAGAATCAAAGCATGCATTCTTTGAAAGCAATACATGTGTTCTGTTTTTCTTTGCAAGCTGTTGGGGATTTCTTTCATAGTAAAAGGAGGAGAGGATAATTGAAAGTTGGGTCTCCGGCTTGGGATGGAGATTTATGTTTCCCCATTTATTAGCTGCAAGGAATGCTGATTGGTCAAGACCACTAACATTTGGAAGACACAGCTGATAAAGATCCTTGCACACTGGTATCTGTCTGCCTGTTTTTGAGGTTTGGGGATCAAAGCAAAAGTGTCCTTCGTGTGATGAGCAAACTTACGCTGCTAAATTAGATGGCGGATCGTCAGCGGAACGCTCCGTAAGGATTTCGACCCGGCAAGTGGATATGGGGTGTTTTGGGGGTGCCTCGGGGGGGCTTGCGGTGATGAGCGGGTGGGCGAACCCCCGCTCGGTCCCGTTCTAGCCCACCCGGCCCGTTTTAGGCCCGCCCTGACCCGTTCGGCTCCCCTCTAGCCTGGGCCCGGTTCCANACATAAGCTGCTAAAAACCCGAGCATTCGGCACTGTCAGATGGGGAGCAGTCACTAACAAATGAAAGCCTAATGGCCCATTTTACTCGGTGCTCTGGAGTTCCTCCTAATGGTATTTTCCATATGCACTTCAACATGCTTTTAACCGAAATTGCAAATGGTACTATTTTCTCTCTAACAGAAGCGTGTAATCTCTGCAGTGCCTGCTTTCCACCTCAACCCCCCTCCCTCCATCCTCCATCCTCCATCCCCCCCCCTTTGGCTTGGGTGTCTTTTTACTTGGCACGGTGCAGGAATGCTGATGTTCAAAGCGCCTCGAATCGGCAAGCATATTGCGCGCCCATACGCCACTCTGCTTTGTTTTACACCTGTCATTGTATGGTATTAAAAAAAAGTGTGTTTGGGGGGTTGGGGGGAGGGAGAGAGAGAGGGGGGGGGGAAATCAAGTCATTAACCATGATAGATATGTTTTTAATAAGAAAGTGTTTTGCCTCACCAGGCAGATAAATTGCAAGTCTTAAGACAGCTCCACAGCTCTAGCGCACAATTAGAGAGATGAAGCCCGGAGTTTCGAAACACTCTACAAAGATTATGACAACTCACCCTGGTTCTTGGCTCCCTTCGTTGCTCAAGTATGAATCAATTAGATTTCGCTCCACCACTCCAAGCTGGGGGAAGACAGTTCTACCACTCACTGATCATGGATCACAGGGCTGTTTTCCTCTGAAAGAAAAGGCTTAAGGCTGGAGCCTTAGTGGGAGCCAAAAATCTGTCCACTAAATTTGTTGGCAGAGAAACGGAGCAGTAGGTCCTTTCTCCAAAGTTCTGAGAAAGGCACCCCAAAAAAAATCCACTAAAGATTTCTTAAGGGCAGGATTTCCTTTTAGGAGTGACACGAGAGCACATGGAAGAGTGAATCCTTCATAAAATCTTTTTTTTTTTTTTTTTAGGATGGAGAGAAAGCAGGGAAAAGTCAATCCTTTACAGAGACGATTGATCTCCCCCAAAGAAAAAGGCAGTTAATGCTATATATAATACTTTCGCAAAGTATTATATATAGAGACATATAGAGACATATATTGTAGAGACATCTTTGGGAGAAGACCTAGATGGTGACCTGTCTTCGGCCATTGGAGGCTTTGGGGACGACCGGAGGACACAGGAGACGCGGCCCGGCCTCGTCTCTGGTCGGAGGCCTGGAGGATCCGGGCTTTGGCCCCGTTCCAGCCAATGGAGAACTTGGCACGACCGAGACGGAGAATCCCTTCCCCCCCCCTTTTTTCTTTTTGATCTTCCA